AGCAGTTCAGGAAGTGCAGGATCTGCAAGAGTTTCAAGCCTCAAGCCCAGAAAAGAGCAGGAGTTTTGCTTAAAGTCACTCCTTATGGAGCCAGAACTCCATCCGCAGCAGAGGCAGGGTCCAGCCTCTTGGTGCAGAGCACCCCTCCAGCAGTTTCCCATGTGGCTCCAATAAAGGACTCAGCCTAGCAATCGCAGCACTGTTGCTCTCCAGCACCTAAACAACCAGCTTCCTGGCACCACTCCCACTCCCACTCCCCCATTAGACACACCAGGGCTACGTCTAGACTGGCATGATTTTCCACAAATGCTTTTAACGGAAAAGTTTTTCCATTAAAAGCATTTGCAAAAAAAGAGCATCTAGATTGGTACAGACGCTTTTCCGCAAAAGCACTAATCTAGACACGGTTTTGCGCAAAAAAGACCCGATCGCCATTTTCACGATCGGGGCTCTTTTGCGCAAAACAAATCTGAGCTGCCTACACTGGCCCTTTTGCGCAAAAGGACTTTTGCCCGAACAGGAGCAGCATAGTATTTCCGCAAGAAACACTGATTTCTTACATGAGATCGTCAGTGTTCTTGCGGAAATTCAAGCGGCCAGTGTAGACAGCTGGCAAGTTTTTCTGCAAAAGCAGGTGCTTTTGCGGAAAAACTTGCCAGTCTAGACACAGCCCAGGCATGTGTAGGGAGTCCCTTCGGCACAGGCTGCTACAGAGACATGCACCATCTGCCCCAAGGGCTCTGAACCCTCCAGCAGCCCCCACTCTGCTGGACTTCCTGTGGTGGTAAGGGGAGGACATGCCCTCTACTCCTGACAGAGCAGAAGTCTCCTGTTTTAAGACACTGCCTCATTGCCTCGCACCATCTGCAGATAAGGCAGTGACGTTAGCACTGCTGGCACCCACACCTGCCTCCCAGCACCATTCAGAGTCCAAGCACTGCTCCCGGGAGTGCTGCTGGTCTGACTCGCGATACTGGTCACCCCTAGCGGTACCAACCCCGCAGTCCAGAGGCTCGGAGCTGCTCGCGCTCATGGGCGCCCTTGGACAGCAGATCCTGGTGCTGCTGAAGATCCAGATCTTGTGGTGTTTGCCGCTGCCCACGTCTCCCACTTGCTTCCCTGAGGCTGCAACTCCCTACCTCCCCTGCTCTAGGGTTGTCAATTCTCTTCAACCAGATACCCTTGCAGCAAATGGTGTTCAGTCTAAGAGGGTTGACATACCCCGGGGGTGCTGGTGCCGGGCTGCATAGGATGTCAACACTGGTAGGGACGGTCCCATATGAACAACACATCTTGAAAAACAACAGTCATGAGAAGATGAGTAACTCTTTTAGTGCCCAGTTTAAGCTTAGTTTTTACAATAAAAATGAAGTA